GCTACGCCATTACAACTCATTTATCATTTATAGTAGACAGAGTGGCTACTATACTAAATTACACTAGTCTAAATAATAAGAAAGAAACAAAAAGAATCATGGATGTTGGAGGAAAGTTAATATACAGAATAAAATCTATAAGAAATATAATTATATAATTTCTAATATTCCAGAAAAAGTTATATACTTCAGCAAGTTATAAACCCTGGGAAAAAATGGTACACAGATTACAAAAAAATGAGTAAAATTTTGCTGTTGTCTAATTGGCATATTTGAATCATTTTCATCCCTTCTATAATATGTAAAATGAAAATATCGTGGTTGATTTATAAAAACACAAGATGAATAAGGTCTTGGATGTTCAGCCAAAATCTCCCTTTTATTCATTCCCTCTTACAAAAGTATCACAATGGTAGGGTCCAATGGTTATTGTGAATGAAATATGTAAATACCTTCTCCTCAATTTTAGCTGTATACATGGGCCCAAACTTGAATCACAAGCAATTAATCAGAAAATCTGAGAAAACAAAGAGAATATGAAGTCACATGATGATATCTCCTGTCCAACGAATATAAGGAATATGAAATTTTCAATATTAACTTTGTTTTGGGATGTGTTTTATTTGGATTATTTTTGCATTTCCTTCCATTCCATTTAAGTTAAAAATCTTTGCAAGTAAATTATTCTACATAGTAGACTTAAACTTTTTATTAATTATGCATTCTGAAGTAAAACATAGAATACATCTATATTTAAAAAACCCGAGAGCCATATTTGTATTTTAAGGTAACCACAGCATACCCTTTCACTCTTCCCTTTTCTAAACTAATCATGCTCAATGCTGTCTTCATGATTTATTAACTGCATGAAATCTTTACATTCTGGCAGGGTGTGCTTATTAATTAATCAATAATATTACCTCTCATGATATACCAGATGACATCTGACAGTAGCAGAGTGCATGGACATTTACTGTCTCTAATGTGGAAACTCTCTCTCTCTCTCTCTCTGTTAATATTAATAAAACATAACATAGTATTAGTGTTTAAGTAACTAAATATTTTAGTTACAAAAGCAGTACCAACATGTATAATTTATATTTAATTTAATAAGGTTACCTTTCATGGTAGACTGGATGACATTTGACAGGGGCAGAGTGGATTTAGACCTTTACAGTTTTAATGGGAAATCTCTCTCTCTCTCCCTGTTAATAAAACATAACATCTATTAGTATTTCTGTAAGTAACCAAATATTTTAGTTTCAAAAGTAGTATATATCTGTAATTTTATATTTAATTTAATACAATTATATATAATTTTATTTAAAAACTCAAAAATCAAAGAAAAATGTAAAAGGTAGAAATCAAAGTCCTTAATCAATACTGATCCTATTTGCTGCCTTATACATAAGCATTAACATTATTATTTATTTCCTTCTCAATAATTTTCCATGTCATCTTTAGTTTGTAGATAAACAGTATACTAGGATACACAGAGAGAGAGAGATATTTCCATGTACATACACATATATGTATATAAATTTTAGCAAATTTATGTCATCTGGAAATGGGTCTTCAATAATGTTCCATTTCAGCACATAAATCTCTTCCTCATTCTTTTTATAAAAGAGTAGCATTCCATAGTGTTAGATATAATAATGTATTTATCTACTCCTTTACTGTTACAATCTAGAAGAAACTTTCAGCATTTTTATAATGGACTGTTCTGTTTTGAACATCTATATACATAAATTTTGTAAATATATTGGTAAGATACTAGATGTAGAATGGAAGACCAAAACTGAAAAATGCTGGCAAATTGCCCACAGAAGTCTATTCAATTCACAGCTGCAATAAAAGCAGAGAATGCATATGTCCCTACAGCTTCTGTTATATTAAATATCACCAATTCATTATTGACAATCTGATAAGAGTTTTTATTTTGATGTTATTTAAGATTTGCATTTGTCTTTATAGGTTGAGTCTGTGCTTGTTTCTTTTCTTTCTTTCTTTTTTTTTGGTTACTTTGCTTTAATTATCTTTTCATGTTTTTTACACATTTTCATAGAGTTATTTAACCTTTTTTCTTGTCACTTATATGATGTGTCCTAAATAATTTGATTTTGTATTTCTTCCAAATATTTTTCTGTATGATGCTATAGATTACATGAATGTTTATATTTTTGTCTGCAAGTTGGTGAATTTTATAAATTTTTTCAAGGTCAACATTTTCATTTTTTTTTAAATTTCTTAAAGTTGCAAGTTTTAGTAATTTATTTCCTAATGTGAATTCTCCATGCATTCCTGGATAGTGATGGCAAGTAACACTGAGTGCTGCAAATACATCAGCTTTTATAAGTAACCTACAAGAATTAGTTTGGTACTATTACCATCTTCATTTGATTAATAAGCAACGAGGGATGGAGAGCTTTATGCAATGAGTTAGTAGGAGAGCCAGCTAATTTGGTTCTGGGACACCTCCTTCTAAACATTATGCTATGCTTATTATTTTCTATTTAATAATCAATTATAAAATATGGCAGGAATTTATATAATCTTAACCAGTCTATACATTGCCAAACTTATTCACATTACATTTTGTGACAATTTTGACCAACTATTTGCTTCATTTACTCTTTATTATTCTACAGACAATATTAGTAAAATTCTGATATTACTTAATGTAACTTACCATGGATGGGGGATTAGATATGTAAATTATGTGTATTTCAAGTACAGTCCAGTAAGGTTAAGTAAAACATTCACTCAATAATAATTATGGTATTTCTTGTAATAAAAAAGTTAAAAAATAACCTAAAATGTTGTCGGTTGGCCACTGGTTAAATGTGTGGTGATCATACATACAGCAGCATAGTATGCAGCATGATAAAATAAGAGGCAACTTTAAATGTCCTTTTATAGATTATAGCTAATAACCAGTGTTAATTCAAAAGGCACTATTATATACAGTTAGTCTATTACCATTTGTGTAAAAATAACTACATGCATTTTCATTCACATGTGCTGTTATCTGTGTAGAATACTCTGGAAAAAAATTAATGTAAGAAAATCTAAAATTAAAACAATCTCTGAAAACAACAATAAAAATTGTAGAGGCTACTAATCATTTTCTCTTAGTAATCTTTAATTTCCTTTCAGCAATATTTATTTCATTCTTTTTAATTTAAAGATATGTGCTTGCCTATTTACTTTTAGCAAGGAGAACAATAAAATCAAAATTTACTACTTCTCTCTGCTTTTGCTTTTTTCACATATATTTGTAAAAATTGCTAATACAAGAAAATGTTTGAATCATTTTCTTGCTAAGAATCGTCAATAGGCACATTTTCACTAATAATGTCATCTTGTATGTCATCACAAACATGTTATCATGCAATTTTTTTAAAGTAATCAATTGAAGAATAAGAAAAACTAACACACAGACAAACTAACAAACAACATTAAGATCCAATGGTGATGGCCTCTTCATTCATCTTTAATAATTCTATAGATCTTACTTACTTGGGGACCCCTGATCAGAGAATGTTGCTAAATGTGTCTAAATCACTGTCTCTTACTGACATCTGATATTCAGAGCTAAAAATTTCTTTATTCACGTCTAGATTTTCTTCTATTTTTATCAACACTATCCTTCAAATTATGATGCATGTGTATGTGAGGTGCCTAAATACTCATAAGAGCAAGAGTATATAACTGTGATCTGATCAAAAGTGTTTTATATCCTTAGTATTAATGTCTGTATAAGTCTCAACATTTGTAGTGTCTGTTCAGTCTTTGGCCCATTGTAGATTTGTTGTTTGCAGGCTTTTGTTTTTGTAATCCTAGTTTACATGCTTTTCAAGAACAAATTTTAATGTCTTATATCCACCATTATGATAAGAAATAATGTGTCATTTTCAGAATATCATACAGTTGGAACCATAAAGTATTTAGTCATTTCAGACTGACTTAATTCCCTCAATAAATATTACCATCTATCCACTCACCTATTAAAAGACAAGTTGGTCACAATTTTGGCAATTTATAATGTTGCTATGAAAATTCATATAAAGACCGTTGCATGAATACAAACTGAAGTCTGCAACCTCTCCTTAGTTTTGTTTTGTTTTGTTTTGTTTCTGTACCTATTTGAAATCTTTATTTGGAGTATCTCTTTCCCAAGTCTCCCATCCCACTTCACTCCTTGTCATCACCAAATAACTTCCTTGTTATCTCTTTTCATTGTTGTTGTTCAGTTTTGAGATGTGAAACTTTGTAGTAAATTTTCTATTTTTTCATCAATTTTAAAAAATTACATTCACTGTCACATATATTTGAAGTTTCATAAAGATGATATTGGAATATGAAGTTATAATTGAGGAAGTATTGTGTATATTACAAAGAATATTTTATTTAAACTATTTTCTTGGAAAACATAAAAATGTTAGAAGTCAATAATCATGTTACAGGTAAGATCTTTTATACAAATTGATAGACATATTTAAAAGAAAACATAACACATACAAATTTTGTCTTCTATATTTTCACATAAAAACATTTCTGAAGTATTTCAAACGTTTTAAAAATTTTAAAAGTTTCCAGTTTTTATTATTTTAAAAATGTTTAAAAATGTTTTGATATTTTAAAATGTGGCTAGTGAGGAGAAAGCAAGCTACTTAGTGCTATACATTTTATTAACAAAATAATTTAATTTTTTCAAATAGAAAGTGTACAATAGAATTTAAAACATATACCAATTTTGAAAAATAATTTATCCAATGTTGATCAGAAAAAGATATCTAGACAGAATGAAATTTCTTTTTTTTCTGAGTGATAATGTATGGTGAAATAAACTTAATGCATTTCTCAGTGGTTTTCTTAAATTAACCAAGTTGGGCTTACTTGGAGGAAGGTAAAATTGGGTAATTTTAAATTGTATTTGTTCCATAATGCATCATTTTTATATTACACAGGTGAGATTTTTTTCTTTATGTTTCTAGGAAAGATGGATCAAAAGAACCAATAGTGGAGATGAGAACAGAGGATGAAAGAATTACTAATCATGAAGATGGGAGCCCAGTGAACGAGCCAAATGAAACCACACCACTAACAGAACCTGAGTATGTAGCTTGGAATGCTTACTTATATTCAAATGCGTGTCGGCACAATGATAACACATTATTATTGTTTATATTATGTATTCAAATATTAATTATTTGTAAAAGAATTGTGCTTTTACTTTTTCAATGAAAGTACATGTGAATATCTAAAATCCATTTTCTGTTGAGACTTTTTCACGAAAATTTTGTATGAATGTGAAAGTCCATTAAACCATATATCTGTAATTTAATGCAAAAGTATAAAAAGATAAGTATCTTACAGCATTGAGATTTTCAACAATAGCCTTTCTTTATAAGATTGTATTGTTCTTGCTTTCAAAATAAAATAATTATCTTTACTGAAATAAAACATGTCAGGAAATTTGTCATCACTTTGAATATAAATGTCAGTGAAATATTTGCAAGGTAATTTTTTAGAGAAATAATATTTGTACAGAGGAGAAAATAATATTAAATTGTTTATCATTGTAATGTCTATGCAGTAAATGATGCTTCATCTCCATTCTTGATGTTATTTATTTTTGCATCTCTAAGAGCTCTATTAAAACTGTAGTATATAACAAAACCTGAAAAGATGCCTAGATTCATGCACAGGACAATTACAATAATTCAAAGTAAAGGCATTATTACCAGGTAGTAATAGTAGTATTCTATTGGATGTATGTGATACTAAGAAAACCATGGTGATCACACACTTCTTTACTGTGCAGCAAAATAACTTTTTATTATTTATCAGAACAAATATTAATTTTTATACAAATATAATTTTATACTTTTTATTATTTTTCAGAACAAATATTAATTTTATATAAATTTTATTTTATAAAAATAATCATTTTCAGAACAAATATTAATTTTATGCAAGAAATATTGATTTCTTGCAGAGTAAACTGATTCAGGTTTCTCATCCTAAATCAAAGACAAAATGTTGTCACAGATGAAGAAAATTATTTTCTTTTCACAAATTCCCTCTATCTGCTCACAAGGGATTGAAATCATTAATATTTACACAAATACAAACTTCTACTTTATAAAAAAAGATATAAATCCTCAAGCCAATTTTAGTGATTGCATTTAGAGATCAAATTAACTGTATTAGATGTGGGTTCTGTATTATCCCCTTTAGAAAAAAGAAGTATACATGAAAACAAGTTGTGAGTATGCTTTTGGTGTGGGCTATATTTTGGGGGGAAAAAGGTAACTCAATAACTACTCTATGTCTCAGTTATAGAAAATAAACACCAATACAAAATAATATGATTAACAGTAATTTTTAAAAAATTAACCTAAACATAAGTGGCAAGAAATTCTGTACACAGAAACAAACTATCAGTTTGATGAAAATGCTGGTTCATTGAAAACTTAATATATAGTTCATGAGTGGGAGATATATTAAGAATTATGCTAACTTCCTATCAGAACTCTAACTTTCTCTACATTTTGATGCTAGAAGTGACACATTGCTTTTATAATCTTTTATTGTCAATATTTTTAGTACCTGTGAATGGTAAAAAGGAGTAACTGAGACTGTACTATTTATAACATGTGTAAAATAGCTATTCTCATTGGTACAATGTTTCTTCATTCCCAGGAATGGATATTACTAGTTTTGCCTATAAATAACTTTGACTGCTTAGTTCTGCTGGCTTTGATATGCAGAATATTTTACCTGTCTCATTCAAAACTATAAAATAAATCCAAAGGAACTAGCATAGTAACTTTCACTCTATCTTAAAATAGTAAGGTTAAAAAGTCACAGAGATGGATTTGAATACTATTTCTAAGTTAATGTTTTTGATGTGGAAAAAGTATGTTAGTAAGGGAGAAAAATTCGTCTCCAAATATCAGGTACTCAGTGGTAAACAATTGAATTTGCAAGTTTTTGGAAAATCTAGAAAGCATAATTAATTGACATCAAAATAAGGGTTGTGAGGCTGCCTTGATATTAAAAAATAAAGTTGCTTTGCTTCATAAGTTACAGTTGCAAACAACTCAAAACCTGTGTTACAAAGTGATATAAAAGTGACAAGAAAAAACATAAAGAGAGACAAAGGAAAACATATACAGTAAATATTAAAAAGTTAGCAAGTCCTAAAATATGTTCATTTGCATTAAGTTCCTTAAACTTAACAAGAATATTGTTAATTCTTGTTAATTCAGTTTCTGAATTAATTTTTTTATTTTATTTTTTTTGAGACAGAGTCTCTCTCTGTTGTGAGGCTGGAGTGCAGTGACATGATATCATTTCACGACAACCACCACCTTCAGGATCAAGTGATTTAAAGCTAGTTTTTGTATTTTTAATAGATACGAGGTTTCACTGTGTTGGTCAGGCTGTTCTCGAACTCCTGACCTCCAGTGATCCACCTGCCTTGGCCTCCCAAAGTGCTAGGATTACAAGCATGAGCCACTATGTCCAGACTGTTTTCTAAATTTTATGTAGCAGAATATGACAACAATTATTAATCATTTTCACTAGAGAAAATTTAGTACTAATAAATCACATAATTGACATTTTAAAATGTTTTGGCATTTTACCTTCCAAAACATGTAGTTTTATTTTTGATATCAGCAACTAGTTACCAAATCGAAGCCACCCTTTTGTGAACAATTTAGTGCATCTAAATCTATAAGTATATTATTTGATTCATCTTTCTGCATTGTTTTCAACAGGCCAATGTAATTGTTTTTATTTTCTTTTAGATCAATTTTTAATCTATTTTATATTATTTTAATAAATTTAATTTTTCCTTTCTAATTATTGTAGCATATTATTATCATATTATTGGAGCATAGTTTCTCTACAAAACAGTAACTTAAATGTGAAGGTATATCTCTTTAAATACCTCAGAAAATGAAGCTTATTATTTTTTATCTTCCAGAAAATTGCCTTTAAAGGAAGAAAATGGGAAAGAAGTTCTAAATCCGGAAACTATAGAAATTAAAGTTTCTAATGACATCATCCAATCAAAAGAAGATGACAGCAAAGCCTAACAATATTACAGGGGCGTGAACAACACTACAAAGAGAATTTGGATTGCAGTGACCCTATGACCAAAACTATTCCATTGACCTTAATTTCTTGGGAAACTTCTAGCTTGGAATAGCTTGTACACATATACATATGATCAAATACTCCTGCCCATGGTCCACTCCTTTTCTGATTGTTGTTGTTGTTGCTGTTGTTGTTAATTTTGTTAAGAATTTCAGTATCGAGACCTGACTGGCACCAACACTTGGTTATTCAATTTGAATCTATGCCTGAAGTACTGGAGTATATTATATGGCTAATGTGCTCTATTTCTTAAGAACTATATTTAATACAACCAACAAATATATTTTAACCTCTCTAACAAATAGTGGTCAAGGAAAAAAGAAAACAAAACAACAACATTGTGAGCTACATGTGTAAGAATGCCCTGCATGTGTATAAGTCCTATTCTGGGCAAATAGATTTTTAAAGTGGCTTTCGACTTCAAGATGAAGGCACTTAATAATGGTTATTCATTTTATCAGGGGAATTTCAGGGAAACTAGGCTTGAAAGAGCCAGTTATCTTTAGCAGATATTAAGAGTGGAAAACTTTGGGGAACTCATTTCAAGTTATGGTTTAGTGCATTTTCAAAATTGATTTTTGATAGACTAAAGTGCCAGATCAAAATTGTTACCCATTTGAAAGAATATTAGTTGTATATAAAATTAGATTAGAAAGACTTTCTAAATCTCTATCTCTTTATATATGTCCTATTCATTCACAATGGATTACACAAAAAATAAATGTATTGCGAGTGAAATAATATTGATTTCTGCCCTCAGCTTCAAATAAAGTAATTTGAAATGGGAACAATATCAATATGGTGTCTTGATATATTTATAAATATGTGATTATCATTTATTTTTAAAATAATTTATCAAAAAACAAGTCTAGTGTTCAAATACTTCAAATCACATCCTCAGATGTATTTTTAGCCCACAGTTTTATATAATCTTTAAGAACTAATTTTCCCACTGTTATTGGTCCGTCATTAAATGTAATTGGCTAATGGAAATTACAATTTTAAAGCTGACAAAATTAAGAAGAAATTATTTAACTTTTTAATGTGCCATAAAAGTATAGATGATAAACAATTAAACACCACTATGTGTTCTATTCTGGATGTTCTAGCTAGAAGTTCTTTTAAGATTTTGATAAACAATTTTGGTTGAAGACATTCCTTAAATATTCAACACAAACTTTCTAATATCTTTTGTCAGGATTATACCAGAATAAAATACTCATTAACTTCCAAGCTATGCAAGCTCCTAGAGGTAAGAGTGAAAAATGATTTAACTTATATGTAAGGTTTTTTAAAGTGTTTATGATTATAAGCATTTGGAAGCAGGTTTATTAACCTTGAGAGCCAAAGGTTTCTTTAGGCCCTGTAACATTCAGAACCTTTGGTGTTTCAGGTGGTATTATAGCTCAAATAGTGACAGAATAGGGAATGTGTTCCAACGGAATATTGGAGCAATATTTAGCATTGCAGAAACCTGCTTTGGGCTTGTCTCTCTGTAGAGATAATCTGATGATTATTAAATGTAAAATTAAGGCAACTCATGAATATTTTTATTTACGAAGTGCTTGAAACTGTCAGCCAAGGAGAGACAACTAAGTAATTTTATACAATTCCTCACTTTTCTGTCTGCAGCAGGGCAGAATATGACCACCTACATTTGAAGGCACCAAATCATCACAGTGTCTTTGCCATAAATTGCAGGGTTATAATGCTAGACTCTCTCCTTGCATTCGAGTTTGGCAGATTCTAAAGAAAAGAGCAGAATGTTTGTGCCTACCTAAGAATTTGAGTAGCTTCTAAACAAACAAACCAGTTAGGTCATTTTAACTAACTTGATTATCCAACCGGTCTTTGACACATTTGACTGTTGCTATTTAGTTTATGTTTGTCTGATCATCCAGATTGCTTTATTTTGCTGTGTTTATTTTGTTGTTCATTTTGTTTAGTACCAATGTACTAAAACTAGGTCAAAATACTTAGGTTGTTTGTGCAAAGTGTACAAGCTTAGTAAAGTGTCCATGAAGCAATAGCTATGAATGCTAATTATCTCTGAATATGGCCACATGGTTTTAGACTAATGATGGTAAAAGAATAAGGATGACTGAGAAAGTCGATTCGCATGTTTACTATTGTTATATTTGTGCTTTACTTCAAGAGTGCAGAAATCATAATAAATAACAAACTATTTTTGTGTTTTCTCTATTTGACATTTGTTTCTCTCATTTATTTGGATTTTTCTTGTAAAGAAATTGACATACATTTCGTATATATATATATATATGTATGTATATATATATGTGTGTATATATATATGTATGTATATATATATGATGTTAAATTTCCTGCCACTCATGTAGATTAATGATCTCAAATTAACAGATAATCTGAAACTAATTATAGTCAGACTATTTCAAGTGCACTGTTTCAGTTGCCCGAGTGGTCCTTACCTCTTGTCCTTGAAATCCATGCCATGCCGAAACAAGGCAATACTGTGATAAACTATTTTTTTTAATATTTCAATGGAATGCTCCAAATTATTTATAAAAGTTTCAAATTAAAAGATGGCTTGTAGTAAATTGTAAAATATAAGTAGAACTGAAATAACCTGTTTCATTCTTATTCTAGATTAAACATATACATATAACCGTATAAATGTTATTTTTATTGTCTGAGAGTATTCTTAAGTATTAGTATAAAATGTCAAAAAGATTGACTGAATATAAATACTGTTAAAATAATTTGAACCCTATGATATTTTAAACCAAGAGGCAAAGATATCATCGAAAACTTGGTATTTCTTGATAGGTTAGGTGCAATTAGGCAGTGACAATCTATAATCAACAATATATAAGACAAAAGAGTAATATCAGAATTTTCACACATATTTTGTTTTCAAAACTGGCACAAATTAGTGTGTCAACATATTTTACAATGATGTCAAATGAATTTAATTAAAAAATTTATTATTTTTGTGGGGTAAGACATTGCAATTCTGTTGATACTAATGTCTAACATTAATGTAATGTTTCTTAAGCTTTCTTTTATCTTTAATATTAATACCTATAAAAGCATTTTTCAAAGGCTATTTGATCCAACAAACTTCATATGGATCTTAGACTTTGAATTAAATATTTATAGAAACAGATTTTATTAACCATATTATTTATTTGTGTGCCAACAATTAATTGTAACTTTGTGATCATACCTTTGTTTTACAGTTCTTCTTTTAAATAATTAAGATGTATTGTGCCTTTTAATTAGCATGACATTCTGCTTTATTAACATAAAAAAACTTAACATCCTTACAGTATATTTTGGTTAGATCTGAGATACTCGGATGATGCTCTCTTATTTACAGCCAGTAAATAAGTTCAATTCAAACTATTTTACCTTGAATATAAAATCTAGATATAATAAACTACACTGTATAATTTACTTTATGTCAAAACAATTCTTTTTATACACACACATGAAATATTCTAATTTGTTCTGTATTGTTTTTCTAAACAATAAATACACTCCAGATACTGTGGAAATTAAATTTTGCCAGTTGTTAAGATAAAGACAACAGAAAACTTTTGAAAATTAGTCAAATTACTATGGTGTTTACTGGGTCATCATTATTTCCATTTGTATGTATTTTATTTAGAATAATAAATCAACCTTTATTTTGGGTGATAAGATTGTCACTGATGAAAACATGTAAAGCTCAAGTGGTAGAAATAATATTTTTCATGAGTTAATTTAGGAAATATTGGAATAGGATATTATAATTATTTATGAGGTTCAATATTCTTTTTCACAGAAAATAAGGTAAACACTGAGTTAAAACCCCCTTTACGTTTTTTTTATAATCATACCCATACCCATAATCGTTTAATGTGCTTATTCAACAAACTTTCTGAGTATGTGGAAATATTTTAACGTTAAGTTGGTTAGCATTATTTATCTTTAGAAAGAAAATATTTGCATCTGTTTATTAATGCTTTGAAGCATTAATACTTAGTCACATTGAAATCACATATGGATGTATCAATATAGGCTGAAATTAAATTGTGGATAGGTACAGACATGAAATACTTCAATCTTACAAGGTAAATATTCAAAAAATTTATTTTACTCACAGACTTAATAATGTCTTAATATGAAACAACTATATGTGCAAATGAGAAATTTATAAAAAGGCCTCACATACAGTAGTTGTTGAACAAACATAACTTTCGTCCAGCTCCCACCTTTCCTTTTTTAAAAAGTTAAATTTATCCATGTAGATGCAGATATTTAACATTATATAAGAATGCTAATAGATGAATTATTTCTTCTCATATAAAAGCAAATAATTTTATATTATATATAATGGTAAATATTTATTTGATAACACACTTAATATTCTTAGAAAAATAGTTTGTTACTCACTTTAGTACTTTACCTATAACATAAATATATTATTTGATATCACCTCTTTAAATTTTCATTTTATACACTTTTTGAGATTCTGGCCACACAACATTCAGAATTATTGCCCATGTAAATTTAAATATTGTGACTTATTATTTTTTTCTTTTCTGAAATGAAAACATATATCTTTGGCATCTGCTTTTAGCCTCCCATCAAAGAGAATAAGCAAAACAATCACAGTTGGAGAATTTCAATCATAACCTGACATAGGAGAGTAGAGAAACAAAGAAATGAACAGATCTAGAAAGGCAAACTGAATTGCTACATTTGGAATAGCTAAGGACCTGACTTTGAGAAGTGCTAGACCAGGAATGACTAGGAACATTGCTTAGATGGAAAATTATGGCCCATTACACTGATGCAAAGGATAAAAGAGTGAAACACAGAGGAGAAAGATAACAGAGATAGAATCCATGATTCAATTTTGCAAATACATTTTAGAGAACAACGTGCATACTATAAAACAAATGATACTATCAAGAACAAACCTATTTGTTCCAACTCTTAAAGAAATATTCATGGTTTAGCATTTGCCTCTAAACCCTGTTAGAAATATGTGAAGTTAGAAATAAAGGGTTTTAAAAAAAAATTAAAAACGTTTTTGGTATGTGGACTCTATGCTGTATTTAGTATGTACTAAAGCATACTATCTTTTATTTTCTTTAATTTATATATTCCATTCAAATTCTATATTCCTAAGTTAGCTACCACAACTTTTTTTATTGTTTCAATATGGTATGTCCCTATGAAATGCTGTATATATATGTCTAAACTGTAAAAATTATACTGCAAATGTTGAAGTTTTGTATTTATGAGAGACATTGAAAGTATGGCTTATAGTATATCAAACTTGTCACACTTCACCATTTGTATATTAATAGTAAAGATACTTTTACTTTAATAAAGTGTTGCATTTTATGTTTATTTTGAATAACATTTCTGTAGTAAGCAAGATTATGGATTTTCAAATACTTTTGTTTTTAAGACATTTTCAAACATATATCTAGATATTCTAAAGAAAGGAATGCTTTCTGCCATATTGTCTCACAATGAATTACAATTGGCTTCTACACTGAGCAGAGCTCAGATAAATAAATGAATAAACAGTTGGTTTAGAGCAGTAGTTTTCAAAATGTGACCCCCTAGAGCGGCATTACCTGGGAATTTGTTCAACATGTAAATTTCTAGACCTCACCAGAGACTCCATAAATGAGAAGGTTCTAGGAGAGGACCATGGTAATTTGTGTTTCAATAAAGATTTCCGGTGTTTCTTATGCTCACCAAAAATGTGAGATCCAATGGATTGGAGACACAGTGTCTTTTTCATTTACTACATTGTATTGATCAATTTGTAAATACTAGGCAACCAACTAAATATAGCCAGAAATGCTTTAATGCAATATATACATTCCCCAACAATATCATATTCTGCAAAATAATGCACTTAATAATTAAAATACTTGAGGGAAAAATAAGTTTGGAACAAACCAGTCAAAATACAGGCAACTGTGGAACCAGAGCATTGACACAAGTAACAACAAACAACCGTTCTATAAAAAACAAGGATAAACATTCTTTAAAACATATTGAATAATAGTTTAGTATTAACTTCTGTTTCAAAGCTAATCATTTCACACATGATTTTACAAGTTGTATTCATTGTTTTAAACTAGTATAAATGTGACTCATTCTTAAAAATTAAAACTCTGAGGGCCAACTTTTCAAAAGGGGGCAATTTTCAACATCAACTTTGCAAATAAGCTCAAACTACATGCACATATAGAATAAAAATAACACCAAACCCTTTGAAAAGTGAAGAAAAAGACATATATTGTGCTTGGTATTTCAGTATTCTATATTTATAATAAAGACAATCAAAATAAAATACAAACTATGCCACATGAAAGAGGCCATAATTCAATCTCTGATGTATTTTGGAAATTGTTTATGTAACCCTGGTAATATTTTAAAGAACTTCTTCTATTTTTTTTCCAATCCAAGCCATTGCCTAAATATAAATTCCCTTTATTATACAATAAATAATGAACATACTTCTCCTAAGTACTTAATAAATAATGAACATACTTTTTCTAAGATTCATGCCATATATGTCCTCAGCATTTTAAATTTCTCTTTTAAAATAAGTTTTTAATACACAAATTAAAATGTTTTTAAAATACAAATATTATTTTTTATTTTATGTGAGGTGTCATATATGTACGTGTCTTTGACATGTTTGCTATTTAATAGAATGCATACATTTGTGTATTTTAACTTTTTTGTATAACTTAATATCTTCCATAAATAGCATTTTGCATTTTATTTTTTGGTAGACTGGCCACAATAATAATATAAACTTTATTACACTTTAATTTAGATTTTTATTAGTATGTGGCCTCTAAAGTGAGATATGTTTAGTATTTAGATGCCTTCATATTTGGAAAACAAGGTTAACTTGATTATGTTAGTTCATATCAACCTTTTCAATTCCACCTCCAGTTTTCACACTTCCTACTTCTCTCATCTTTCGTTCATCTTCCTCAATCATGACCATGTCTGAAAATAGCTTGAGAAGTTTGAGATATATAAAAAGAAAAGGGTATCTACCCAAACCAGTCCAAAACATTTGTATTCCATCATACCTGGAGATGAAGCAATTACAAATTATCTTGGAAGGGTCATTTTTGAAAATAGAGTTTTGGAAGGAAGTTGCGACTTTCTTTGAATTTTGAAGCATTGACTGAAGAGAAGGCAATGAGCATCTCATTTGTAAGCAAGGACACAGACTGAATCCACACAGGGTATGCGACACATACCCAGGTTTTTCAAAGCTGTTTGAGGAAGCTTTATGACTAGGGTTGACTATGTGAAGGCCCCTACTAAATATAAGGGAAATACTCTTCAAAAAGCATAAATAAAATTTTTGCTAATTCAGAAACCAAGAGATCCACGTTTACTCAGCAGAAAAAATGATGAGAAAAGAATTTCCCACATTTTTGCAACTGGGTTGCAAAAAGGGTAGAACTGGGATCCATAAATTAATATTAAGAAATAGATGAGAACCCAGATATTGGAATTAAAATAAACCTATGTTCACATCCCAATTGTATCACCTATTACTAGCTCTGAATTTGATAAATTTAGATAAAAATTTATGCTTTTATTTCCTCAACTATAAAATTGTTACACTAAAGTGGATAATATTAATCTTCAAGAGATGATTTAAGGATTTATTGAGATGGTGTTTATGAAATTCTTCATACAACGTATACCACACAAAAAATATCAATAAATAGTAGCTGTGAGTATCTTTATATCCACCATATTTCAACACTGATTCTCAGAGTAAGTTGTGTTAGACAGTTACCAATTACTGAATAACAAATCAAAATGTAGTAGTGATTTAAAACATTAGCAATATATATTTTTATGATTTTCTGTGTTGATTTGAATGAATTTGGCAATCGTTCCAATATCAAGTGCTCCCAGGCCTCTATTTGCATCATACTTGTGATGTTCACTCAGTCACATTAAATAATATGGGTAAGCATATAGGCAATGTGTTTGGGTACAGGGGGTAAACAAGGCCGTAATACATTGAGCACAATTAATGTTACAATGTAGCTCAATATTCCTTGTGTCTCATAATGTTTCACATCTTTTCCACATGCTAAACTCACTCAAATCCTTCCTGAAACTTCAAATGTATACTATTGTATTAACAGGGTAAGATTTGAATTTTAGAATTTATTCAACTAAATTAATCCCAAGCGATCATAGCATCTCAGGGATTGCACCTGGGTACATTTCTTCAAAGCAGAGTTCTGTCCACTAAAAATATAATGTAACTCCTTCCAGAAAACTCCACAGATATAATTATAAGGCAGGAGTGGGATATACCACTAGGCACTACCTTACAAATAATAGGGAAGGAACTGGGGACATTGGACAGTTAAATGACTGCAGAAATTTTGAGATCCAGCCAGAAAAAAATCTTACTAGTTCCACCTTCTACTGCCCCCCACCTTCAGCATAGGGAATTTTCATTAATTAGGATTTGATTCTATTCCAAAAGTAAGATAAATACATCTATTGTTCTTCATAGTTGTTAGGATTACTCTTTGAGATATTCTTACTTTTTTGTAGCAAAGAGTATGTGATAATAGATGGGTACATTTCTTGGCTTGTTTCATGGCTAGATATATTTACTTCCTGGAAATCTTTCATTTAAACTGTTTAAGTCCTATTAATTTCAAGCTGATACAACTTTTTAAAAACAGTGTGTGTGTGTATATATATATATGCACACACACACATATACACACAAATGTTTATATGTATACATAAATGTTTATATGTGTATAATTTATATGTATATATAAAATTTAGTCCACTACATTAGACAAGAACCACACTTTGGAATGTTTTGAAGATAGCTCCCTCTCTATGCAGGGCTGCAAAGGGGGATCTTATTGAATGATTCTGTTAAAATTTTTAAAAGCTCATTTACCCAGTTATAAAGGTCTATAAGACACTTTCTTATATTCCCTTGTGATCTAAGAAAAGACACCCTTGATTTAACTTTTTCTCCCAAACGATGTTTTACTGACAATACTCAGGCATTGATCTTTGCCTCTATGACATTTATTACTTTTGAGAAACTTTTTGACAGCTGAAAAAGTGTGGGAAAGAGAGAACAAGTCTTTTCTAAGAAATAATCCTCCAAATGCTGCTTGAAAATTGAGCATATATCGCTTTAGCACATATGTCTCTTGCAAACGCCTTATCATGTTTGAGAAGAAAAAAAATGACAATTAACACTTTCAACATACTGCCTTGAAATCTCCTTAGTCACATTCACAAACTCACTAGGTGTATTTTCTGTTTTCCAATTTATCATAGGCAACAATTTTCCTAAATATTCCTCAAACATGGTTTTCTTTTTCTCCAGTTCATGATAGCAATTTTCTCACTGCTCTAGCAGACTTCACTAACAGTCTCCTTTCCTACATTTAGGCCTTTATCTCCCATCACAAAGCTGATGACAGAAGTTTTATCGTTTTGTTATAATAAGATCCCACTTGCAGTTCCTGGGTATGGTTTCACTTTTCATGTCTGTGTGTTAGTTTCCTCTTGTTACTGTAAGAAATTACAGTCAAGTTAGTAGCTTTAAAAAGACCACAAATGTATTATTTTACAGTTCTAGAGGTCACACTCTGATATGCACTTCACTGGAACAAAATCAAAATGTCAGCAGTGTTAACATTACTTGAAAGGCTTCTAGGGTCTGCGTACATTCTTTGACTCATGATTCCTTTCCATCTTCAAGGCCAGCAATTGCATTACTCTGACCTCTGCTTTCATCAACACACCTTCTCTGACTCAGACTCTGATTCCTTATTTTCCTTTAAGGAGTTTTGTGATCACATTGGGTCTACATTGATAGTCCAGCATAATCTCGTCTCATGGTCCTTAGTCACATCTACAAGTATTTTTATTCCATGTATCATGATATATTTGCAACTTTCAGGAAACAGGACATCTTTGTGGCACCATTATTTTGCCCTCCACAGTCTATGTAACAAACCACTGCAAAATGTAATGACTAAGACAACCACATTTTAGTTAATCTAATTATGTTTTGAATTGACTTGTGTTGATGTTATGTTTTTTTCCCCCTACCTTCCTGGTGTGTTGAAGTCAGGCATTGTATTTATTGAGGTTCTCCAAAGGAAACCCTAACTAATACTCACCCATTGGTTGCCCATGGGTGAGTATTAAGCCTTTACTAAGACCCAGTTTTGAGCCAAAAGCTGTTTCTTGATAGAAGAATAGCAATCTTCAGATAAGGGCAGGCTCTTGCTCTAAAATCTTAACAGCTTATGCTGTGACTCTCTTATAGAGTCCTGAAAAAGTCTCCAAACAATATCTCCATC